CCCCAAAACCCCAAAACCCCAAAACCCCTTTAGCAAGAGGATTTATTGAACAATTTCCTCAAAAATATTAAGAAACTTCCTTGACACAATTTTGGTTATTCTGTTGGAGAATTAATTTGATCATCTGATTGATCTATCTCATTTTCAAATTTTTGAGGGGATTCTGGCATAAGATGCATTATCTTGTTGTATTTCTCCCCAACATTATCACCATTAGCTTCATCAAAATCTTTTTCAGAAGAGTCAGAGTCTTCTCTGGCACTTTTAGATTCCTCTTGATTTTTCTGTGTGTTTAATCCCTCATCAGAGTTCACCTCGTTTCTTTCTAAATGCTCAACCGGCTTTGAATCATCTACTGATTTTGCATCATCAACTGACAATTCTTTATCAAGTTCATTGTTATTTTTCTTTAACTTATTTTGCTCCTCTCCTTGAGAATCAGAGTCATCTTCAGGCTCAAGATTCTCTGACATATGAACCTCGTTGTCATGATCATTACGCTGAAGCTTCTCTTCTTGAGATTTGTCTACAAAATTAGCCTCTATATTACCGCTCTTATCTTCTTCAGGATCATTTTGGTTTGATTTTATTGAGCCAAGCTCATTTCCACCCATCTCTTCCTCCTCTTCAACTTTGGAGAGGCCATCTGAAGCTTTGGAAGTGGCGAAATCTAGTAAGGGTTTGGAGCGTTCTACAGGAGCAAGGAGGTTCCTCCCCTTTGCTTCCTCTTGTTGGTCAACTAAATCATCTACATTTTCATCCTCATTCTCTTCTGTATTATCTGGAATATTACTTGTATGACCTAAACACGTGTAAATTATTGACTTGGTACCTGGCTCATCGGAAAGATTGAACTTTACTGATCCTCTCACAGCAATTGACTTTACTTCAGCATTTATTTGAGATACAGCTCCTTCTTCTTGCATCAAGAATCTTGATTTTTGGAACTCCATTTTTGCCTGTGGATTCTTCTCTTCGATTCCTGGTGCTGATCGGGGTGAGTTCTCATCATCTAGAGATTTTTCTTCTGTAGCTTCTATATTCTTTTGTTCGGAGAAATCACCGTCTTGGGCATTTAGGGAAAACTTGTCTTGCTTATCATCCTCTTCAAGATTCTTGCGCTCTTCTCTCATAGCACTAAGTCTAAGTTTATTGGCCTCAAAAATTAAACTGCTTTCAGAATTTTGTCTCATAGGGGCAATGTCATAGTCTCCAAGCCTGATAGGTTTAGACATCTGTCTTTCCAATTTAAGGTCTGAAGGAGACTCTCCAAGTTTTTCCTTCTTTCCTAGGTCTTCCAAAGCCTTATCCAACACTAGAAAGGCAGCATCAGAGAGCTCATCTTGTATCGATTGTGAGTCATTCTGCCCACTCGTAGCTCTTTGTTCGTCTCTTTGTCTTTTCTCTTCAAGCCGTTTCTTGTGTTTCTTCTGAAGCCTTTTAGTAAGCTTTACATCATATTTCTCAATGATTTTCTTAGCTTTGGCTATCTCACTCATCATGTATGTTATCCTCTTCTCAACTTGCTTGACTTCGATGATCATTTGTTCAGTGTCTTCACTGTCTGAGTCTTGAGAGACCATATCTTCTGCCGCTCCATATTTTTCACGTCTTTTCTCCCTTCTCTTTTGTAACCTTAGATGCTTTTTCTCGAGTTGGGAATATTTCTTCTTAGTGTTGTCACTGTCTTCCTTAATTTTGTTAATCTCTTCATTAAATTTCTCTTTCTTCACACCAGCTTTGAGGAGGTTACGCTTCGTCTGGAGTTTAGCTTTGAAGTTGCAAATTTTGTCTTCATCAACAAAGATTACATCGTCTCTTTTGCAAATGGGGCAGCTACTCTCATTCAATACCCATTTTTTAAGACATTTTAGATGAAAGATATGCTTACAATCCAAGATCTTACCAGTCTCGATGTCGTCTTGGCAAATTACACAGGTGTGGTCAAGTTCCTCTTCCTCAATTTCTTCTCTAGTAATATCCATGATATTATTCAACTTTTTGATTTTGATGATGGCAATATACAGCATCTTAATGTTCACTAGGACTTCATAAATACTATTTAGAATATTGCCAATCAAGAAGATAGGGAAATAGTCTGTTTTGGCAATAATCATCAGGAAAGTTAGTGCATCCATTCCTAAGCTACATACACTAGCAATGACATTGAAACACTTGAAGATGGTATCTTGGTATTCGAAAGTCAGTTTTGTGGTTCTCAGAAATACATGGATAATAAATTTGACAATATTAATAAGTAAGTGCACAGTCATTTTTAAGAACTCAAATACTGTTAAGATATTCAGGATCTGAATCATGTTAAGTTTATTACTGATCAAATCCTCCATTACTTTAGGGTCATATAGCCATCCAACTACTTGAGTGTTTACAACCAACATCAGGAAATAGAAAGTGATTAGCTTTAGATATGGCAGAACTCTATTTTCATTGCTAGTTTCCAGAAATTCCATTCTTTTATGGGCTAATTTTTGAATCAAAAAGAATATTATAGGAAACAAGATCATGCCCATTGCCCTTTTGTTGGTAATATCTATTGATAAGAAATAGTACAGTAGAACTACACCTATGACTCTCTTGACAAACTGATCATATAGATAGGAAGTCTCCACAGTCCTGAGTTCGCCAAAGAAGAACTTTAGTATCATCAGCAAAAGAATATCAGTAAGCACTAATGCAAAGTTTCACAATACAAGTATATTCAATGGCTTGGTCTGTAAGGCCATTGTGGTATTATAAAAGTCTACCTGTCTCTTAGACTCATGATGGCACACTGCTACTACTGAAACAAATGATGCGAGGAAATATAGCTTGACTCCTCTGGTAATCTCAACCATTTTTCACAAACTTTAATTATTATAAGAACTTCAGACATAATGGGGTTTTGGGGTTTTGGGGTTTTGGGGTTTTGGGG